AGGATTCATCTTACAAAGCACTGATGGAGCTGACAGTGCACAGCCAACATTTATGTGGTCATAACAATAATTTCAGTAAATTGTCTTATCTGAGTTTAGTACAGATGTAGATGGAGAAAACCTGGATGATTAAATACCAAAATACGAAAACAGTTGAAAATGTCAAGTAATGTTTCAAGTCTTTCATGGAGCTACCCTGGGCTTCAGAAAAGATTGTCAGCAGAGACACAGCAAGCAGGAGCATATTTTTCTTCCCATTCTCAGAGTCCACAAGCAGAAGGGTCTAAGGCAAGCATCATTTGTTTTGGCCAGAAAAGTTCTTTTGTTGGGCTGGAATTCTGTGGGAATTTGGGTTCACAGGCTGATATCTGGTGCAAAGGGGAATAGGAGGAGCCCTTTCCAGGACTGGCTTAACTGTAAAGAGATTCAGCCCCAGGTCAACTGGCTCTCTACCCAATGGGCTGGATAAGCATTTTGCTGTTTCCTAAGGTGTTTTTCTGATTTGACTGGCATGTTTTGCTCTGTTTGGCCCTTGTGAGCAACTATGCTCTGCGTCTGGAGGAAAGCGTCTGGTTCAGCAGTTTGCAAACATACCAGTGTGGTGACTCCTGCATTCCAGCTTCCTCTCCATACCTGTCAGTAACATGGGACTTGCATATGCAACAGTCTCTTGCAATCTGGGAAATCCTCTCCTCTGTTTTGCTATATGTGCTTAACAAATGCCCTCTTTCTTTTTTTTTTCTTTCTTTTTTTTTCAAGATATATTTACATATATGACCTGTTCCCATAAAGGGACTTAGACTTGCACTGTGATGGTCTCAAAGCTGGAGATTTTACTGTTTTCTTCCTATGCACCTTCCAGTGTGCACTGTGGAAACAAGCAGGATGCTGGCTTCCACACACGCAGAATGAGTCTTTGGTGCCCTCTCTGTCACAAACTGTACGTGGACAGATGACAGGAGGATTAACATTAAAACGTCTAGATTAGCCAAAATCCAAGGTTCCTTGGGGAATTCTCCTCATGCTGCTAATATCAGGCCAAGGGAAAGAACAGGAGCAGATGCAGGATCCATTTATGTTACAAAAGCATTAGTCACTATGTTGTTTGTGGAATGAAAGAAAAGAAAAGAAAAGAAAAAAGAAAAGAAAAGAAAAGAAAAGAAAAGAAAAGAAAAGAAAAGAAAAGAAAAGAAAAGAAAAGAAAAGAAAAGAAAAGAAAAGAAAAGAAAAGAAAAGAAAAGAAAAGAAAAGAAAAGAAAAGAAAAGAAAAGAAAAGAAAAGAAAAGAAAAGAAAAGAAAAATATTGCTACTTTAAACACTAACCATTAGGAAATGCCAGAATAAAAACTGTTTGAGCAATCCTAATCCCACTCCCCCGCTCTTAATGAGTCTATATTGTCTTTAATTATACCTTCAAGTACCATTTTCAACTCCTCAGAGAGTAAGTAATGAACAAAGCTAGTAAGTCTGTCTGTTTCATCAACCTTCACCCCTTTTTAATCTGTTAGTGAGTTTTAATGAAACTCAGCAGAGGGACAGCCTTTTCAAAACCAACACGTAGTTTTTTTTTGAAAACACGTGGTTGAAGAGAAAGAACCTGTTAGCACTCCAGCACGGAAAAACTGGTGTCAGCAGGAAAGAGGTGATCCAAGCAACAGGGGGATATTGCAAACACCCCAACCGTGATGAAAGGTTACAACTTACTCAATGCTAGTCAACCCAAAGGTGCACCCGTAAGATATCTGGCTGCTTCATCCTACAGCTCAGGACATCTTGTTCCCTGCCTCTTCCAGTGCACAGCATGGGAAGAAGCAGCCTTCCACTCTGTGACTGTCCCCAGTAGTGAAGAGGTCTCGGAAACCTCAACCAAGTGGAAAGAACAGGTCATTTCAGTACTCAGGAAAAAAAGAAGACCAGCTTGGCTAAGAAGGGAATCATGGCAGAACTCCAGTGCAAAAAAATAAAATACAGGAGGTGGAAGCAGGGATGGGCTACAAAGAAGGAATTTAGAAACATTGCCCGGGCATGTAGGGATGGTGTCAGGAAAACCAAAGGTTAGCTGGAGAATAAACTTGCATGTCAAGGGTAATGAGAAGAGCTTCTACTGCTAAGCTAGTGGTAAAGGGCTGATCAAGGAGAATGATGGACTCTTACTGGACAGGCTGGGTGGTTTAGTGAAAGTTGGCACTGGCAAACCTGAGAAACTCAGTGCCTTCTTTATCTTAATATTCACTAGCAAGGTCTCCATGCCTCAAGAACTGGGATTCAGGGAAGTGAAGGATGAGCATTAGTGGGTAAACTGGGGTTTGCTAGACAAAACTTGACTCATACAAGCCCATGGGACCAAAAGGACAGCGTTCAAGGATGCTGAGAGATCTGGCTGATGCCATAGCAGGGCTGCTTTAGGTCATCTTTGAGAGGCCGTGAATATTCCTGACAACTGGTAAGGTGCAAATGTTGTGCCTATGTCCAAAAAGCACCAAAAGGACAGGACAGATAACTGAAGGTTGTTCAGTCTCGCTTCGTTCCTTAGAAAAAAACATGAACTCTTGGTTCATGTTTCTGGACACATGAAGAGGAAGACAACTGGGAATATCAGCATGAATTCAGCACAGATAAATAATACTTTGCAGACCTGCCTGATTGTCTTTTTTTTTTTTTTTTTTTTTTTTTTTTTTTTTTTTTTTAAAAAAAAAGGAATTGGATTTTTGGACAGGGGAGAGGAGTGGATGTCATTTACCATGAGTTTAGCAATACTTCCAACACTGTCTCCCACAATATTCATGTATCTGGGTTAGAACAATATGTTCTGAATGAGTAAAAAAATTGATGGGTTAAATACTGGATGTATTGGGTCAGAGGGTCATGCTTAGTGGGTAGTCCTGTATCTGAAGGCTGTACCATGGTATCTGTCCCAGGACCCATCCTGTTTAGCTCATTTATAACTGACCTGAAGGATGCGAGGGAGTACTGCTTGTCAAGCTGGCTGGTGACATCAAAGCAGGGAGAACATTCAACACATATGAGGACAGGACTACTATTCAGAGGGACCTCAACCAGCCAGAGAAAGTAGCCAGTGAAATTTCACAAGGACAAATGCAAAGCTCCACACCAGGGAAGGAAGAACCTGTTGCAGTTTTACAGGCTATAGACTGGTTGGCTGAGGAGCACTTCTGCTGTAAATGTACTGAAGGGCCTTGGTAAGAGCCCCCAGGACGTGCCTAGTAGACAGGAGGCTGCAGTGTGCCCTGGCATCAGAGAAGGACGACAGCATCCTGGGCTGTGTGAAGAATATCACAGCTGGTAGGTTGAGGGAAGGGATTATTTTCTTCTAGTTGGTACTTACTAGGTTGTGTACTGTGCCCAGTTCTGGATCCCCCAGTAAAAGAAAGACATTGATAAACTGAAGTGAGTCCCACAGGGGGCCATGAGGATAGCAAGAGACTGGTGCGGTTGCCTGAAGAGGAGGAGCTGAAGGAATGTGGCTTATTCAGCCTGGGATAAAAGGATTTGGTGGATGTAATCAGCCTTCCCAAACCTACAGGGAGGATCATCATGATGGGGTTGGGCTCCCTGTAGTGTTACGCGGTAGGAGACAAGGCAAACAAGTTGAAACAAGAGTGGTTCAGACTGCATATGAAGAGAAACTTCTTCCTCACGAGGACAGTCCAGCAGTAGTTGCCCAGAGAGGTTGTGTAGTGCCTGTCCTTGGGGGCTTCCAGGGCCAGACTGAGCCCTGAGCAACCTGTTCTGACCTCATTGCTGTCTCCGCTTTGAACAGGAGGTCAGACTAGAGTCCTCCTGAGCTCTCTTTAAAGGTGAGTTACCCTGTAATTCCCATCCTGAGTGATCAGTACTGGAAAACTGCTTTGGATGCACAAACCTCTCCCAGTCCTCTCCCAGATCTTTCCACGCCCATTTCACAACCAAGGTTCAGAGACTTTAACTACCCCGTTGTTGAAAACCTTCTTTCACATACCAACTGCCTCAGTGTCTCTCCCCTGACAGAAAACAAGAGATTTTTTTTTATTTTTTTTCTATCACAGGCTGTTCTGTGCACAAATTATGTAGCTGGGTCTGTTCAGCAGGTATCAGATGTGCTTACAGATCAGAGATCAAAGGTGCCTCGAGTACCTACAAAACCAGAAACCACCAAACTAGGAAGGACCTGAGACATATGGTCAAGCTGCCTGTTCCTGAAAACAAAAGCCAGGATGGTGAGGGGGTACCTGTAGGGTGTACGGGGGTGTGGGGAGGAGAGGGTGGCACTGGGCAGACTGATGGAGACGGGCAGGCAGAAGCCGAGCACCAAGGAAGGAAGGAAGGAAGGAAGGAAGGAAGGAAGGAAGGAAGGAAGGAAGGAGAGAGAAAGACAGACAGAAAGACAGAAAGCAAGCTGCCTACTGGCTTCTCACATTGAGCTTAGAAGAAAGAACAGGTGTGATACATCTAGGAGAAGGAGAGGGAAAAAATACTGAGTTTCCCCGCAGACATAAGTGATATTTAATAAGATGTTTACACAGATCCACCTGATTATTCTGGCCCAAACAGCAAAGCAGCTCTCTCCTGCTGCAATTGTATTTTCCCTTTTTGTGGCCTTGCTTGATGCATACTTTCTGGTGGCTGAACCAGAAGAGACCTCCAAGATCACCTGGCACAACCATCACCCTGCCACCAATGTCACCACTAAACCCTGTCTCCAAGCACCACGTCCCGCCTCTCCTTGAGCACCCCCAGGGATGGTGACTCCACCACCTCCCTGTGCAACCCGTCCCCATGCCTGACTGCTCTTTCTGAGCAGAAATGGCTCCTCACTGCCAACCTGAACCTCCCCTGGTGCAACTTGGGGCCATTCCCTCTGGTCCCATCACCGGTTATGTGTGAGGAGAGGATAACCCTAAGGCAGAAAAGGGACGACCATGTCTCTTTATTTATCCCCCACGAGCAGAGGAGGAGCGCCTCACACAGGACCGGGGGCGGCCTCCCGCCCCATGCCCGCCCCGGGGCGGGCTCACAGCGAGGCGGCGCCGTGCCGGGCCGTGCCGGGCCGTGCTGAGGCGATCCCACCCGATCGGCCCCGATCCCCTCAGCCCCGATCTGATCCCGTCCGATCCGATCCCAGCCGCGATGGAGCAGGACGAGGCGTCCGTCCTGCTGCCGGAGCGAGGCCTGTCGCGGCTGCCCCGCTTCAAGGCGTACAGGCGGCGGTGGTTCCTGCTGGGGGTGGTGTGCCTGCTCAACTGCTCCAACGCCATGGTGAGCCCCGCGGCTCAGGGGAAAAAGGGGGGCAGGCTGAGGGGCTCGGGCAGGGTTTGTGTGGCCCTTCCCGAGGGTTGGGGCCGTAGTGGGGCTGGGAGGACGGAGATCAGCGGGAGGGCAGGGGGGCTGCCGTGGTTGTGGCCCCCGGGTGGGCACGGGGTGAGGGCAGGGAGCACAGCCTTTAACAAACTGGAAGCCCAAATCGCTGCTTGGCATGCTGTGGGTGGTTACCAGGTAATATACTGAGGATCAGGGAATATACTGAATCACTGAAAAGCTGAGGTGCCCTCCCATAGGGAAGTATCCATATCCTTTGGGAGTGCGTAAAGGTGTCCTGCAGGGAAGAAGTGAGAAGCGCTGCTGCTTGCAGCTCCGTCAGCACAGCACGAGAACCTGAAATAATAGGAAGGCACCGCTGTTAGCTGAGGTGTCCGTCCCTATCCGTGTGGATAGTGGGTGCACAGAGCTCTCCAGGCCGCCTTGGCACACTTACGCTTTGCTAAACACTCGGAGTGAAGTTGGAGAGGTCCCTGAAGTGGCCCTTCTGCTGTCTGCAGCCCTGACACTGATCACGCCGCTGAAAACCTCCCAGCCCTGGATGATCAGAGCACTTGTCTGCCTGCTTGGTCTCCTGCCAACTTCCCAGCTCTCCACAACATTGTTTTGCCACTGTAGCAACTCGGGCCAGAACTTGAGGACTTCAAAACCTTGTGCTCAGTAAATACCCTAGGGTAGCAATACGGTTTCTAAGCTGCTGCAGATGTCTGGAATTGCAAGTATGCTGACACACACGAGTTGTGACCGAACATTTCCTGATGCTGATGTTTCTCCTACACGTTCCAGATGAAAATCACGTGAAAATGGAGGGAGTGGTTGAAAGAACATGAGATCAACGTGGTTGGTTTCTGTTTAAGAGTTCCAGATGGAAAGATTAATTTACCAGTTCTGCGGGGTGAAAGTTGCCATGGAAGTTCAGATGAGTCCTTAATTCCTCTCCAGATGTTGCATGCAGTACTCTGTCCTGTGTATACCTGTGTCGGTCTGTCTGCAAAATGCCTCTGGTGAGGATGCACGGCTTAGGAGCTGTCTGACTTGGAGAGAACAGGCCACCTCGTGGGGTGTCTCACTGAAAGTGACAGCAGACAATCCTGAGAGAGGGAGGCTGTCATCAGTGCTGTGAACGCAATGTAGGAGCAAACTTGTCAGCAGGAAAGCACGCTCAGTCACGCAGCAAGGGCAGGATGAGAAAGAAGTGATTCTTTGTTCCTTCTGTGCTAGGATCGTGGCTGGGCAAAGCCAGGCCAGATCATGTGGTGCTGAGAGAGGAACTGCTTCCTCCTGCTCTGCATCATCACGTGAAGTCCTGTCTCTAAGCAGGGAGCATAGCAGGGTAAATAAGGCATAAGGAGGTCTTTTACACAAAAGGTCTCTTTCTTCAATCTCTGTTACTGACCTGGGTTTAAAAGCCTCTGTCTCTGATTTTTACAAAGTGGGTACTATCTTGCTGAGGTTTGGTTCTCATTTCCCAAATACTGCTATTCTGGAAACTGCTAGCTGAAAATACCTTAAAAACTCCATAAGTAGGCACTGTCTACCAGGTTCACTACCTGCCTGAAGTCCTGGGCCAGGAGGCTCTTCTGACCGTCACTAAGCCAAACTTAGATGATTGATCCCCAGATATTTTTTGCCACCATTTCAGGTGGGGGGTGACCTAACTGTGCCTGTGGTTGCTCTCCAGATTTGTGAAGCTGATGCTGTGGTTTTGAGTGTGTGTGTGTTTTTTTTTAACTTTAAGCCTTAACGTGTCATAGTAGTCAGGGAGTGCTGACAGCTGCTCTAGCAGTGGCATGCTTTAGCAACACCTCCTTCCTCTTTGCCTCCTTGCTGCTGGGCTCAAAGGGTGGAAACTCTGCGCTTCGCAGGGGAACTGCTTGCCTTAACGCTGAGGACAGAGAAAAGCACGGAGAAATGCAAGCGAGAGTGTTTCCTGCCTTGTTCTCTGCCTGTCAGCATGAGCACATGGGAGAGGAGGAGCAGGGCCGAGGGCTGGAGCTGGCTCACACGTGGCTGGACGGTTCCTGACTCACCGTCCTGGAGGACTTACACCAGCACTTGAAGTACTCAGGAGAGAAAGGAGAGCCCCACGAGTGTGGACGGCGTGCTCCAGGGCAGGGTGTGCACGCTCCTCACCCGCACCTGTCCTGTCCTGCAGTGCCCTTGTAGATAAGCATGCACACGCAGCTGCCACCGCCTGGCCCTTGTGTCCTGCCAGCCTTCCCAAGAGCTGCAAGAGGCTAAAACTGAGATCCACGCAGCGAGCTGACCCAGCTGGAGGTCTCACCTCCATCCGTCCTTCCTAGGCTGCTGTGTCAGCATGGGTGCCTGCCTTTGGTGAGGCTGGGGGCGCTTTGCTCCCAGTCTTTGTGTCCATTTTGGTGATCAATGAGCTTGAAGGTGAGGAATCTGGTGGAGGAGCTTCGTGGCTTGGTCTCAGGAGAGGAGGAGCCCTGTGTGCCTCAGAGGGACATGCAGCATCAGCTTCAGAGCAGCCACGGAGCTGTGAGCCGGTGTGTGGGAGAGAGCACACCAAGGCTGGGATAGCGCCTGGCTGAGGGCTGCTGAGCTGTGCCTGTCATAAAGCAGAAGGTCCCGTTTCATCAGGGAGGAGGGAAGCTGTGTCCTGCACGTGAAATGGACCCTGGGGAGTTTGTGTGGGAGTGAGAAAGTAAAGGCAGTGGGACAGAGGGAGAGACCCTGGGGAAGATGGACGTGGAAAGGGCATGAAACCAGGAGAAAACTTAGAGGGTTTGGGTGAGGAAGAGGGCTGGATCCATTTTTTAGCATCAGTTGAGAGTTTACAAGGAAAAGAGAGCCGCAAAGAAGCTTAGACAGAATGAGAGCAGCTGTAAACTAAAAGCACAGGAGGGCCCAAGCAGGCCTGCAGTTAATGGGGAAATGAGCAGGCAGTCCTGCAGCAGGAGACGCGGGAGAAGAAAAACCAAAATGCCAGCTAAAAGAAAGTCAAAACAAAGGGATGGAGAGCTGCAAGTGGAGCCATGTCCCTCCAACTTCAGTATCGGTCAGACGGTTTGAGTTTCGGTGCACTTACTTTCCGTGGTGATCCCACATTGCCAGAGGAGGCGTGAAGGGGGCTTTCCTGTGATAGTGAGTACAAATATACCATGGGTGGACAATATTTCCGTCCTTTTCTTCTTCTGATGGGGCATAGATATACCCAGCTGCGTGCTGAAAGCATTGGGTACAATTTCTTTCCTCACCCGTGATCTTCATCCACCTAGTTGTGGAAGGTGAGTGAACACCTTGTGTTGGAAGCACACGGATGCATCCTTAGCAAAGGACGCGCAGAAGTATCTTTACATCTGGGATGGCACTCTTGTTTCTTTGTTGTGGGCATGGCCTCAGGGCTGATTTCTGGATCAAAGCAGGCCTCATCATTCCCAGAAGAAACCAGGAGCAGACAGTGATGTTGTGAAACCAGTGCAACTAAAACGGGGTGTAGGGGAATATTTTCAGATAAGGCACTGGAAGGATCAGTCGCATCGTTATTAACGCACGTCTTGTGTTTCCCTCTCACACGTTCTGATATGGATGCAAATTTCTAGGTCCTCTCCCAGCCACTGAGTGTGTGTAGGACAGCATGAAATAAAATATTCTGTGCGGCAAGTGTGAGCCTCTTGGCTGACAAATTGCAAAGATGTTCTTACAAGGACACATCCAGGGCTGGTAATGCCAGGCTGAGTTGAAGAGGCTGCTAGTTGCAGAGAGGAGAAGATAGACTCTGTTTGGTTTATGCTAATGCAGGAGGATGTCTTGTGGTCTGCATCAGGTAAGTATGTGTGTTGGGGGCCAATGTGTTCAGCCTGAGGACGGAAAACATCCTCACTGACCTCCACTTCAGCCAGCTTCCAGCAGCAAGGCAGGAAGACTGGGGATGAGAAAGGGAAATAGATGAGGAGCTCAGGGTCAAGATAATGCTGGTGTCAGTGCCAAAATACTACCAGCATGCAAACACTGAAGGTCTGAGTTTTAACTACAAGCCTTAACATCTGAATTTCAAAGAGAGACTAAGGCAGCCAGCCTCTTCATGATGTGATTATTTTGAGGGGATGCTGAAAATCTGTTCTGGTAAAGGTGTTCATGCGCACCTACCTTTGTTCTCTCCTCTGCAGCTGTGGCTGACCTTTGCTCCTGTGGCTGACAAGATATCTGCCTACTTCCACATTTCCCTGGAGATGGTCAACTGGCTCTCAATAGTGTACCTGCTCATCTCGATCCCGTTTGGTCTGGTGGCAACATGGGTTCTCGACAGCGTGGGGCTCCGATGTGCCGTGAGTTGAACTGTTCTGTCACCCTGAGGGCTTTTCACCCGGAGACAGCAGAGGTGACATCTCCATGGGCTTAGTTGCACAAAGCACTAGCGTGTGTACGGCGCATGGGAATCTTGCCAAGTGCAGCAGAGGATGGGTGTGTTGAAAGCTCGGTTCTATTTCAGCAGTAGCTGTCACCACCTCTGAAGAGGGGAGCTGCAGGGAAAGTCAGAATAATGTTGCATCCCTACGTGCCTTTTTCTGCTTTGTTTTTTTTTTGTTGTCTTGGCCAACTGACAGGGACAGACGGTGTGAGCTGACTGTGAGGAGCTTGTTGGAGTCAGGCAAGATTTGCTAGGGAAGACTCTTAACACAACTATTTTGCTTGGGAGGCCAGTGTAAGGAGTAGCAGGGCAGAGTGCAAGCAAGAGAGAGACCCTTGTCATCTTACAGCTTGCTCAGTGCAAAGCCAACCTGGGATCTCAGCAGAGACTTCCCAAAAAGCAGAAATGCTGGGGTCGTGGCACTGAGACACTAGCCCTCTAGCAGGACCTGTAAACTGCCTGACTTATTTCCACGGTCTTTGAGTTGTCACAAGTTGTATGGGTGATGGTGCAAACTTGAAAATGGAGTGAAAGTAGTGAACTTTGGATTTTTCCTCAATTCCACGATGGTACCTGCTCTCTTGCATATGCTACATGATGGTGTAGAGCAGGAGAGCCTTCTTGCTCTTTAAGGTAAAGAGGTTACTGTTGGATCAGGAGCATCCTGCAGCGGCCAGAGGGACAGGGACAGTCTGCAGGCAACTCTCTGTGCAGCAGCTATTAACAACCCCGTGTCTTGCTTGCTGCAGGTGATCCTGAGTGCGGGGCTGAACATGACAGGTAGCATCATCCGGATGTTCAGCGTCATGAAGTTCATGAGCTTGGGCTCCCAGAATTACTGGTACCTGTTTGCTGGTCAGTGCCTCTGCGCACTGGCTCAGCCCCTTGTCATCTTTTCACCAACCAAGCTGGCAGCGCTGTGGTTCCCGGACCACCAGAGAGCAACAGCAAACATGATCTCATCAATGTGTAAGTGACAGCTGCAGAGTAATATTGCTGCCTTGCAGAACCTGATAGCATTTGTTTGCCTTTCAGAAACAGGAGGCAGAGGAAACCCTCTGCCTTCTGTTCATGTATCATGGTGGCTGAGGACAGCCCTCAGTGTTATTAAATATAATGTCTTTGTAGTGGTCTCATCTGCAACTTGCTGAGCCAGTCTCCAATTTGCAAATGATGCTTGTGATCACAGTTCCCAAATTCTGTAACCAGGCAGAGGTGAGGCTGCAGCATCCATTTTACCCACCAGTTCTTCCAGTAGCGAGGCTGAGCTTGTATTCCAAATTGGTATACATGCATACCTGCATAAAACATACTCAGCTGGCAATGCAAGCACATTGAGTGTTCTAAATGCAGCAGGACTACTCACACAGAAACCAATTCTTGCTTGTGAAGTCCCTGAGGTAGAGTGCCTGGAAGCTGGGAAACTGGAGGAGAGGCACCTTGCTCTGAGCCCTGAGGCCATTGCTTGCTCCGATCTCAGCCCTCTTGTGGTTCCTTTGTTTCCTGCTAGATACAGGCTACTGCATTTGATAGACCTCTTTCCTCCTTATGGGTGACATTCTCCCCAGCTTCTCCCTCCAAGGACTTGAGAAGAGCATCAGAAACTAGGCTGGCACACTGACTCCAGCTGGCAAATCTTGCATTACCTGCATGTACGGGAGAGCTCCACCTGCTCTTGCCTCCACACTGCCTTGGAGTTGTGTGGGAAGGGATAAGTCAGAGGAAAAAGCTAGTGTAGGAGGACACCTATACGGCTTTCCAATCCTGGTGTGCTGGTGCAAACCCAGAGCATGGGTACTGTTATTTAGCAAGAATGGATTTGTGATGTCAGTACAAAGCAATTCTTTTTGCACTGCCTTCCCTAGAGCAGGGTGCACCTGATTGCTCACCTGCTTTCCTAGGGCTGAAGTAGATCTTCACCTTCCCTGCTGGAGAAGGATCTCTGTTGTCAGTGGGGTGTGATACCGGTACTACAGAAGTACAAGAGTACAGAAGTCGCTTCTGGGGACCACTGGGTACTGCTATCCTTCTCCTCAGTGTGAAGTATCAGCCTCCAGAAAACTTGCTTTTTTTTTTTTAATAAGTGAGAGAACAGCCAGAGCAGCCAAATAGTATTTCACTGACACAGTGACCTCAACCCCTACAAGAATAAATGAGTTTAACTAGGAGAACAAATACAACTGAAGAGCAAGGAACAGCAGATACCCAAGCTCTGAAGGTGTTCAGTCTGTGGCATGTTGAGATACCAGCGTGAGGACTGAAAGGGCTGTTATTATTATCTGCTGCAATGCTTGCATATTATTGTTTAGCAAGCGTCCATTAATGGTTTCTGGTTACACCCATTACTGTACAAAATCAGGATTTCATTTTAAAAAAGTTTGAATATTGCCTAGAAGGAGCACCAGCCACAGCCCAGTCGTTTGCTTCAGTGGTTAATTACCTCACTGGCAAATGCCTACATGTTACTTCTCATCTTGATGCTCCTTATCCCCCAGCCGCTGAGTCTCGTTGCACCTGTTTGGCAGGTAGTTATGGACAGTCACCTCATCTCTCCTTTGTCTAGGAAGTCTGAACTGCTCCAGTGCAATCACTTCACAGGCACGTTTCCCTCTTCCTCTTCCCACATATCTGCCTGTTGCTCACATCAGCTTTTTCTCTCGGCTCTCTCCAGTTTATCACCGTCTGTTTCCTGTGTTAATGCCAAAGCAGCACTCAGCGTCACACACAGAAACTGGTCCTGCTGGTATCCCCACAGCTTCTGTTAGTACCTCTGAGTAGGTTTTGCTGTGTTTGCATGCAGATGAAAACAGACCCTGCAGACAGGATCCAGCTGAGCAGCTGAGATCACTGTGAGTCATCTGTGCTCTTTAGTATTTAGCACACTCAGTCCTCCTATCACTTGTAGAGTTACTCACACAGAAGCAGAACCGGGCCAAGCATGGATCCCTGTGAAGATGGTGAGAAGTTCTCCCATGCAAGAAGAGTTAGAGTCCACTGAAGTGCTCTCTGCTTCATCCGCTGGATTCTTCGCTTCCTGTGGTCTGTCAGCATCTCATTTTCTGCCCCTTGTACAGTTTTATTGCACCAGCATCACTGCCCACAAAACACACAGTCCCACAGTGGGGTAGTGTGTACTAATCCAGGCAAAACTCCTGCTGATTAGCTCCAGCAATCTCCTTTCCATTCTTTCTCAATCTAGCCCTGTATAGTTTCCCTTCCCAGGAGGAGAAGGCTGAAACCCTGTAATGACTTGGGTAGGCTCACTTAGTCTTGTCAAATTGAGCTCAATGCTCGCATTTCCATCTCCCCTCCTCCCCCTTCCTATCTCCTGCTTCACCGTGCAGATAGCTCATGGTCATAAACATGATCATACTTCTTTTTTAGCCTGTCTCCTACAGTGCCCAAATGTATTTTACCCAAATGCAGAAGTTTAAATCCCTCTCCTCGGAAACTGTAGTTTAACCGTGTCCACATAATGTTAGTTTGGAGCAGATAACATTTCACCCAGGTCACGTTACATGAACTAGGACTTTCCCAAATACAGAGTAGAAGTTCTGTGACTGTTGTGTGCTATGGCAGTGTTACTGATGCCTCAACAGAACCACAGAACAGAGAAGGCTCTAAGGCACGTCTTGGGATACTCTGCACAGGCACAGGTTGCCCAGAGAGGTTGCAGAGTCTCTTGTGGATATTCGGAAGCTGTCTGGGTATGGTCCAGGACAGCTGGCAGTAGCTGACCCTGGTATGAGCAGGAGGGCTTGGACAAGAAGATCTCAAGAGGCACCTGCCAACCTCACTGATTGTTTTGCTGATTCTGTATGCACTTTTGCCTTTTGAAGAACTACTTTAGTTCCACATAAAACATTGCTGTAATTCAGCAGAGTCCTTCATTTACAGTGGTTGAGCTCTGGGCTGTCCTGCACGTCATCAATAGCCTCCTGCTGAGGACTGGTGGAAGGTGTACGCAGGACACACACTGTGCCCTGGATGGACAGTCTTCTCAAAACGCAATGCACAACCCAGCAGTAGCAAAGGTTCTCATGTTTTGAAAGGGTTGTTTTGCTGATTTTTTTTTTTCTGGACTAAATGTCCATATGTTCTCAGAGCTACCAGATCATGGCATGTTTGTTACTTTTGAGAATGAAATGGACAAACGCGTCAAGCACAGAAAGGTGGCCAGGCAATTCTCCTTGCTGCCTACCACCTGCCTACCTGGTGTACTCAGTCTGCTTGTGGGGGAAAGTTGAGATGGACCAGCTGTGACTTGGCTCCTTCTCCTGAACTGCAAGTGCTTATAGGATGCTGTTTTTCTGCTTACTGTGAAAGATTAATCTTTCTGTTTTAAGGCTGGATAGCAGTGACAATGGCTAATCATATTGCAGGAATGTGTGAGGAGAGTAAGGAAAACATGGTGGCAGTGGAGTAGGCAGGAGACATTAAACTTGGAGGAAGGCTGAGGAGGTGACACATGAGGGCATCACACTGCACTCAGAAATGTCCCAGCTAGGGCTAGCATGCATACACTTCTAGCTCCAGATTCAGGTAGGAGTCTAAGATTGCCTGGGGGGAGCATCTCTATTTGTTGCTGCTGCTGTATAACATCGGGACAGATGACGTGCATTGGCCCATCCTCATTTTGTCCCCTCTGATCAGCCTTTACTGGAACAGCTGTATGAGGGTGAAGACACCATAATTCATAAATGAAAACCAGGTTCTTGTTACATGAGTTAGGTGTTGTAGGAAAATGGGTTTATACGATGGAACTTCCTGAGGGTGGGGGAACAGATGTGGCAACAGTGACGCCACACTGTTAACTTCTCACAGGTGTTCTCCTCCTGGTTTCTCCATATATATGCTTTGGTCCATCCATGCTTGTTGCTCTGTTACATACTGCAACTCTGATGCTGACTTGGTAGTAGAGATTGACAGGTGATTATGACTGCTTGCATGAATAACGCATTTTTCTCTGATTTTCTTTCAGCCAATCCCTTGGGAATTCTCATAGCAAATGTGCTGTCACCTATACTAGTTCCTGAAGGAAAGCACATCCCACTGATGGTAAATGAAAACTGGCTTAATCAGCCAGCTGGGCTGATTGGGGTCCAGCTTGTTTATATATTTGGAAGTAGTGGGGCTGGAGAGACTGGTAACGTGTCTTTGCTTTGTGTTGTGTAGCTGGGTGTTTATGCCATCCCAGCGGTAACAGCCTGTGCTCTAGCAGCTTTGGGGATTCACGAGAAAGTTCCTCCAACACCTCCTTCAGCCAGTGCCACCAACTCCACCTCTCAGCCATTCCTCACAGGGATCAAAATGGTAAGTGCTGCAGCACGGAGAGAAAACAGTGCTGAGGTGAGGGATACAGCCCTGCCAGACAGGGATGCTCTGTGGTATCTGCTGACAAAGCAGACTCTGAATTGCTTTCCACCAGACCTGGCACAGACAGCCTCCTGAAGGAGACCAGGTTCTCTTCCTTCCTCAGGGAGTAGAAGCTGCTCACAGCAAAGCTGTGAGAGACATTACCTGACTGTTCAGCCTCTGTCTGGATGCTGTTCAGCTGGCTAACAGGCACATCTGAACTCATCCAAGAGGACCACACAATCTGAGCCTTCTGAGGTGGTAACAGGTGTGGTAATGGGTAGGACAGCATGTGACAAAGCAAAGAAAGAATCTGGGGCACTGAAGAGATCCCTACTTCCTATATGGTCTCAGCTTTTACTTGTCTGCTGGCTGAACTGATGGAAGAGAGGCAAACTCCCTTAGTGCTCACAGGGTTGCCCTTAATGTTTTTGAAGAGTCAAAGCCTCAGATCCTCAAATCTATTTGTCACAGCCTGGCCTTTCTTCTCCCTTTGCTTGTTTAAATATGTTAACTTTTTTCTCTAGCTCCTGAGGAACAAGCCCTACATCATCCTGGCGGTGTGCTTTGGAGGAGGAATTGGGATGTTTACCTGCTTTTCAGCTCTACTAGAACAAATCCTTTGTGAAAAGGGTTATTCAAATGTGAGTCTTCCTCCTTTCATCCTCACTGTCCACAGCATCTATGATAGATTCAAATGAATATGATGCAGTGTCTCACATCTTGTTTGCTTGTATTATTTAACGTAGGTTAAGCAGTACATTAATGCACAGGCGATCTTTCAGTGTAATGGATGATTTGAGGTTTTATTACTGCCTCTGGCCAGGCTCCCATTTGCAAATGAAAAGCTTTTTCTCCCTAAACACTATTTAGGAAAAAAAGTGTTCCATTTTTACTTAAGCACTCCAGAGCACTGGTGTCTAAGCAGCCTTCTGACATCTTTCCCAAAGGGGGATGGAGGCTCTGATGGGCCCTGGAGTGAGCAGGACATGGAAGGCAGGCTGGTGCAATTTCCTGTTTTATTTGGACAGTCTTACACGAAGCCAAGGCAGTAGGAAGTCACAGGTACTGCAACAGCTCTGTTTCCCCATCCCTTCCTGGACTCTGGCCAGGTACAGCTTTTACAGCTGAGCACAGGGCGTGCACAGGTGAGATTCTTCCTGTTGTCTCCGTGCAGTAGCAAGGGGCTGTTCCGGTTCCTGCATTTCCCCTTCAGTCCTGCTGCTTGTACCCCTCTGGAGGTCCTCGTAACTTTCTAGCTGATAGGTCTGCATGTCTATATGCCTGCTCTGCACCCAGCCTTCCTTCTCAGGCTCACCAAGATTTGTTGTCCATTGAGACCGTGGTGCTGTGACCCACCTGTCCACAAGCATGTGATTCTGGGCCCAGTTATTTGCTACTCACAGTCCTTTGGGGGAAACTTGCCCTACCTCAGGAAGTGATCCACTGACAGCAGTCGGATGGGTCAGTGACATTAAAACCTCTTCCTAACCACTCTGTTTTCTTGGCTGCTTGTTTTTCTGCCCTCCAGGTGTTTGCCGGCCTGAATGGTGCACTGTTCACAGTCTTTGGTTTGCTGGGAGCCTTCCTGCTAGGACTGTATGTCGACCGGACAAGGAATTTTATAGAGTCCACCAAGATCTGTTTCTGTCTGAGCGCACTTGCCAGCATCGTGTTTGCAGTGGTGAGTTCGCACTTGCATTGCACCGTACGTGTGGGCTTACTTCTGTTGCCATCTAATAAACCATCAACTCAGAACAGGGTTATTTGACTTCATGGCATTTACTAAATTACATGTTCTACTTTGGGATTATCTACATGGGCTAGGATTTTTTAGAAAAATCCTAGAAGAAATCACAGAGAAAACATTTCCTGTGGATTTCACAGAGGAACAGTGGAGCTTCAGTCAGACTGCTGCAGGATATAAATAAATTGGTGCCATTTACTCCTTTACATTGGATCCCCTCTTCCTTACTTCTCCTCCACTTCCCTCATCCCTTATGGATAACTATTAGTTCAGGGTAGTAAAATGAAAACCGCCCATCCAAATCTGCTTGATGCCCTGATGCTGTGAACTTGATTCCAGACACACAGTTTCCCTTGACTTTACCAGCTCCAGCCAGGCCTCTGGAGCTGTGCCAGGAGAGACACCTGGTGTTCCTCTGTGGTAATTTAAAACATAGTTACAGAAGGAGGTACTGGCACAGGGGCTGCAGGATTTACACCCTTGACTTCACTAGCACTGGGACAAGGCCATGCTTTTTCCACAAGAGCTAGGGATGAGGCTGTTTTGGCCACTAATCGGATCACCAGGTTTTGTAGATGTTTCAGGTGGTTTTGTGTGTTGGTTTGGGGTTTTTGTTGGAAGTACTCCAATATTGCAAACATGAGTCTCACATGATAAGGAGTAGTTTTCAGTGTGTACTGAGCTGTAGTAACCCAGTGAATTCTTATGTAACCCACTCCAAATGCCACTTCTGAAATGTTAGCTTTTGTCAGGACAGAAGTGTGTGTTTCATGTGTTTCTGGAGATACACTGGAGTTACTGTCCAGGAAATCAAGTCACAGTATTATAATTACACGCACATTTTTCAGATAATTGTGTTGATTCTGTCTCTCTCTGTAGTTAAGTTTGACAGCCAAATCTCCACTGTGTAGCTATTTGTTGACTAGGGCGCTGGAGGAAGAAAAGATGTGGTACTAGTGGAAAGTGAGCACTTGGGACTTCCTGCAGGTGATGGGTTCAGAGGCACTCTGTGCAGCAGTGATGAGACTGAGACTTTGGTGCATTTATTCTGCCTGCAGGCATCCCGATTCAGAGGTCAGGCCATCGCTTTGGCCATCGCCAGCTCAGTCTTTGGTTTCTTTGGTTTTGCCATGTACCCCATTGCCATGGAGCTGGCTGTGGAGTGCTCCTACCCTGTGGGAGAAGGCACCTCGACAGGACTGATTTTCGTTGCAAGGTAAGCACACAAGTTTAACCCAGCCAGCCGTTGAGCTTAGGCCCTAAGCAATGACAGAGGTGGCCCAGTTCCACTTGTGTGTGGGTCAGGGGCAGTCACTGCATGCTGGCTTCTCCCCACAGCCAGATTGAAGGTGTGATTTTAATGATTCTGCTACAAGCCCTCACCGTGCGTGTTTCTGAGGACCCATCCTCCACCTGCGCCCTTGACCAGGATGGAGCCCTGGACTGGACAAGTAAGCACATCCCTGGGAAATGATGCTGGGCAATTGCTTGCACCCCACCTGTCCCCTGCTCCTACCCATATCTCACTGTGAGGGAGCCTGCGAGACTTATTCCTGTTGCAGCCTACCTTTTGGCCACCTTTTCCAACCTGCCTCTGCACCCTTGCTGCTCCTGCTAAAACAGTCCTGAGCAGTTGACATGGGGAAGACTTCTAAGATGCCAAAAAAGCTGCTGATGGCCGTGGGTTACAGTTCCTCCCCCTACAGCTGCTGTGCAGAGACCTGAGCTTCACCAAGCTCGCAAGCAGCTGCTCGTGGGGGAAGAACAGCTTGGGGTCACGGGATACACAACCCTGTCTGTGCAGCACAGCCCATGCTGCTGGGCAGTGCGGCAGGACCACAGAAACTGACTGAAAGTCAATTCCCTTGCATCTGCACACGCAGCTGCCCGGGTCAGTAACATGCCTGAACAGCTCTGTTCTGACTTACTCCATATTTCCCTTCCTTTCCAAGCTGGTCGGGAGGAGAGGCAGCAATTGATAGAAACTGGAACACAACAAATCTTTTTTTTGCATTGTAAGCTAAGCTCTGGTCTTGATCTCTCAGCTGGTTCATATTTACATGACAGCAAGTCCTAGGGACACGCTATAACAGCGGCTGTCAAACACCTTTGTATAAAATCCTCAGCTGAGCAGAAATCCCCAGAAGGCAGTCCACTTGCAGGTAGGGAACAAGTCATCATAGTAACTGCTCCCAAAAAGCAATTTGGCTGCTTCGTGTCTGAAGGTCTGCAACATTCCTCCTCATCAGATCAGAGCTTATGATTAGATACCCATCCCTACTACCCAGCCTACTCATTTTGTGGTTTGATACACGCAGGGACATGTATGTGGAGAAACGTGTGGAGGTGTTTATTTGAGATACTGTTTAACTAAGAACATAACTACTTCCAGGCATTGTATAAATTTCCCTTTTTTTTTCATCAGAAAAGCTGAAAGATGCAAGTTTTAAGATACAAGTTTTTTCTTCAGTTAAACAGTTAAAGGATCACTTTATCTTTAGTGATCCTTTGCTACACCTTGCTTTTAGATAACAAAACAAAGCTATCTGTGAGGTCTTATGAAGCCCAGGTGTTTAAGTCTTTCTTGTAACATCCTTCACCTGCCCCCACCACACAAATATCCACACACATACCCACACAGGTACATGCAAATGCACTCCCACAAACACACTGTGTGCACTGGTGTAAGACCTCCAGCCTGTGAGCCATGCAGGACACAAATCTTGTAAGCCTTCCACTTTTCACTCAAATCCTCTTCCAAAGCCCTTGTTATGGGACATGAGGTTTGGCCTCACTGGGAGCTGCACGCTGTCCTCAGGGTAGCCTCTGGGAGGGGATCACCCAGGCTGTGCAGTTGTAAGGGAGCTGACCTCTAGACCTCTGCACCATTTGGGATGTGTGGATTGACCTGCTAAAAGTCTATCATCTTATTTGCAGCTCCAGTGCTGGTGCTGGCTGGCCTCTGCAGTGCCATGGCTTGTTTCTACGTCATCTTCTTCCACACAGACTACAAGCGGCTCAATGCGGAGACAAACAGCGATTTGGTCAGGACAGAAGATACAGAATCAGCAGATGTCCCCGAAGCCTAACAAGGCTGAAAGGGGCATGCCAAGGGCCCAGTTAGGGAAGGACTCAGGCCTATGGGCAGGGACCAAGACTGCAAGTGCTCTTCTGTCACACTGGGGTGTGTGGGTCCTGCTGCACAAGAAGCACCCTGGATTTCAGAGGAGAACGGCTGCAGCAGTCACTGGGGCACCTTCACTGATCTTCTCCCTATCTTGTATTTATTTGTGTGTCTGGGCTGTAACACAGGCTGTGCTGCCAGAGGTCAAAGGGGAACTGGATAACTACACAGGGTTTTTTAGCTGACATGATTCAAGCTGAAGAAATGTCACAGAAGAGTGAAGCATCATATTTCAGCCTTTTTTTTTTTCATTTTCACATACATGGATCAGGAGTGAAGCTTTTGGAGAGGTGAAGGTTGCTATCACAAACCTGCCAGAGAACTTGCCTTTCAGGACTACGGTTCCCATATTGCGTAGCAACTTTTCCACTCTAAGTGTGGAAATAATTATTTGGTAGGAGCTAGAGCATTTTTCTGTTGCAGCAGGGAGGTGTAGGTATATGGTCTGTAACACAAATCTGTTGCAATATCCACTTTGTCCTCTCACAGAAACAGGAAAAAGAAAGTGCTGCCTGCCGTGCTGACTGTAAAAGAAAAAAATCAGTGAGCAGCAGAAGTTAAGCATAACAGCCTTCCTTGCCCTTTCTGTTCCCCTGCCATATGCCACGACATTCAGGAAAAGTTTGTTTTGGGCTCCGGGTGTTTCCCCATCTGCCCAACAATTCCAATGGCTCAAGCTTTTCACAAGAAGATGAACCTTATGGTTAGAGTTGTGCACTGCACCAAGCGAAGACATGCTCTCTTACAGAAAAACATTGAGAAAGCAGCTCACTTTGGGGGGAATGGTATGGCAGCAGCTGGAAAAAGACCTGGCAAAGGTGACCACACAGAATGCAGGGCACCTTCACGAGTTTCTGCAGCTGATAGGGGATTCTGGTAGAAGACCAAGTAAGAAACATCAACAAGAACCTTGGAGTTCTCTCTACAAGCAACAGCTGCTCGGTGTTTGAAGAGATGGTTGGTAGCACAAAAGATCCTGGTTGGAGTTCAGTTCCACTACAAATTGCAACGGGTACAATTGGTTTTCATTTTACAACAATGCTTGCACAGGAGCCCAATGTCCTGCTCTGGTGTTGAGGTCTAAACCTACATCCCGAGGACTTTTAACCCTATGACATTTTGGTGCTAAAAAATAAGATGGGTGGGACTTGGCGATGCTTCATATCATGCGGCTTGCAGAGGGGATCTCAGTATTTGTTGATTAAGGGAACTTGATGCAAATGGGACCTCTGAAAATACAGTGGCTCTTTTTCTCCAGTCCAGTTAGGGGATAATCACATAGGAAAGAATGCACTTTACCTGATAAACACTAAAGAATAGCTCTCTCAATGCCTGAATTCTCCTTCCCATTAGCAACTGGTTATCTTTCTATTTATAAAACAACTTCCTGCATCCTTCCATGGAGTCTCCTAGTTCCTACAGGTACAGCCTTGCTGTCCCTGATAAGCACTGATGTCTTATCATGAAGAGGAGCAGGAAGGAAGTCTTAAACTGAGATAAAACAAGGTAACTTTGGACCTGTCAGAGGAATGAAATTAACCATTTCTGCAGCACTGGACCTAATACACTGAACAGATTAACATCAGATTTACCCATCTCTCCTGAGTCCTACTGTACTGGGAAGCAAAAAGCACTTGGTACTTTATAATTTTATATATTTACAAATGCTTATGTTTTTTAATAAAGGGTGGATTAAGAAAACATTAAGAAAAGAGTCATCTTTTTTTTTTCCCCGCTATATTAAACAAGTATTTTGTAGGTCCAAGAGTGCATCACATCTGCTACACAGCACAAGTCAAAGGTCACTGATCTGGCATATGTGCAGTTAAGTTGTGCTTGAAATGTTGATAAATGCTACCTCAGATCTCTAAAAAGGCAGTGTGAAATTAGCTGCAGGTTAAACTGCAGTTAGCTCTATGCTCAAGGACAGTTTAAGGGAGAGAGGAGACTAAAGCATCTCCAAAACCTGTCGTCCTGGTCGCACCAGCTAAGGCACTCTTCATCCTATCATATAAAAGAGATTTGAAAGGGGAGATTTTTTTCTCCACCAGCAGAGGCATACAGTTGTGTGAGGCTAATTCTGGACTGCTGATGTGAAGAGGAGCAGGCTGCTCCTCCACCTCAGGGTTTGTCATACCCTCGCAGTGTGCTGTAGAGGCGCTGTGGTACTGCTAAAAGCAGAGCCAGGTAGTTAACACAAATACTTAGCTTGCACCATCAGCTGTTTGTACTGCTTCTGCTAATATCACAGTGTGTCTTTAGAAAAAAAAAAAAAAAAAAAATTCTGGGCATGGGTGTAGGCTGGCCTAATTGCCACCATAGCTGAAGTTAGTGTCAATCTTTTTTAAAAGCCCCCTTTAAGAACTGAAAAGCTGCAATAAGGTCACCCCTGAGCCCTCCCTTCTCCAGGCTCAACATCCCCAGCTCCCTCAGCCTTTCTTTACAATAGAGGTGCTCCAGCTCTTTGATCATCCTCATGGCTATTTGGAGACACTCTAACAGACCTGTGTCCTTCTTGTGCAGTAGGCTCCAGACCTGCATGCAGCACTCCCAGTGAGGCCTCACAAAGGCAGAGCAGAGGGGGGCAATCCCCTCCCTCCCCTGCTGGCCACGCTGCTTTTGATGTAGCCCAGGAGGCAGCTGGTCTTCTGGGCCGCAAGCACGCACTGCTGGTTCATGTCGAGCTGCTCATCCAACAGAACCCCCAAATCCCTCTCCACAGGGCTGCTGTCAGGGAGTTCCTCTCGTGTCTGGTATTGCTCCGACACAGGTGCAGCACCTGGTGCTTGGACTTGTTGAACCCAGGCACCCCCTGGCACCAAACCTCCCGCTGGGAGCAGCTGCAGAGCTGCAGGCCTGCGGCTGGGCAGCACGCGCTGTCAGGGGGAGCACAGCAGTGGGGCCGGGCACCTGGGGAGGGGAGGGGAGCGCCGAGACAAACACCCCAGCCCTCCTGGCCAAGGGCAGCATCGCCGTGCCCCAACCCCAGCACACCTCACAGCGGGCACGCCAGGAGGCGGTGGGCACAGCAGCAGGAAGAGGGGGAGATGGCAGTAGGGCTGGGGATGGCGACACCAAATACATTGTTAGCTGCACTGAGACTTTATATAAATACGATTTATTTTCTACATTGTATAGTTTTATGTCCTGAGGGCCTTCCGTGTGCCCCACCCGCTGGCCCGGCCCTGTTGTGGCCAGCTCCTGGGGCGCTGCCCTAGTGTTGCCGGCGGGGTGGCCTCTTCTTGGCTGCTGGAGAAGAGGCCTGGGAGGTGGGGGCCCTCCTCTTCGGGGCTCGCCGGGGCCCCCTTTGGGGATGGTCCCTGCCCTGGTCTGCTGTGGAGGCTCCAGACACAGCCTCCGGTGTCTCCTCCTGGGGCGCTTCTTGGTTCCTGGGGACAGGAACCGCGCTGGAGGGGGGCTGGCTGCGACTCCCTTGAAGGGTAACACTGGAGCTGCCCGCAAGTTCCTCCGTGCTGGCTCCAGCAGCGCTGTTGGAGGGCTCTGCACCAGCACCAGGAGGCCCCTCTCGGGAGGCAGAAGGCCTGGGGGCAGCTGCGGGGCTGCCTGCCTGTCCCGTGGCAGCACGGGAGCCCTCCAGGCCCAGCAGGCGGTGGGCCACCCAGCTGCACCGCTGCACGGTGATGCCGATGAGCCGGTGCACAAAGGTGGCTGCGTGCTCCGGCATGGAAAGCTGCAGCAGCTGCACCAGGCGATCTTCATCCAGCCCCAGGAGGCCCACGGCGGAGGTGAGGAGGTCTTCCACCATTTGCGCCTCCGCGTGGTCAGCCCCATGGATGCGCCTCAGCTCCTGGCGCAGCCAGGGCAGCACGGGATGGATCAGCGTTGGGTGGTCTCGGAAAAGGGAGGCCCAGACTTCAGGCTGGAGGCCTCCCACAAGAGCCGGCCCTGCAGCTGATGGTGGTGCTGCAGGACGGTGACGGGGGTCGGTGGTGGCTGCGCGGCCACGAGCTCTCCCTGCCGGCTGGGTGATGAGAGACGCTTCTGCCGGCGCTGGGATGACGACCTCCTTAAATTTGTCGTCTGCCTGCACCGAGTGCACGATGGAGCTGACCCTCCTCTTGCAGAGGGGGCACTCGGGCTTGCTCTCCACCCACTGCTGGATGCATCGGAAGCAGAACTGGTGGAGGCATGGCATCACGTAGCCCACGTTGTCCCAGGTGTCAAGGCAAATGGGGCAGCGGCTCTCCAGCGCCGTGGCCATGCTCTCCAGCTGCTGCAGTGGGCTGCGTGGAGCAGGGGATGAGGGGCTGCTCCTCCTCACTGCTGCTGCACCAGCAGCTGTCACGCTGCAAAAGGCAGAGAAGAGGCCACGGTCATCGGCTGCTGTGGGGGCAGCTGCAAGAGCTGTGCAGGTCCCCAGAGGAGGAAAGCCTTCCAGCTGCCCAGGGCCCAGGGCAAGGTGTCCCCACCGCGCTTACCTCTGCTGCTGCGAGCGCTCCTCCTGGGTCTCCCGACGGCCCGAACGACGCAGGGCCGTGGAAGAAGCTCTGATGGCTCTGGGAAGGGCACTGAGAGCTGCTGCAGCAACTCCCAGGGCACGACACCAGCACCAAGGCCAACCTCGCTCCTCACTCCAGACCTCACGCAACCGCTCAGCCGGAGTGCGGGCACTAGCCGGCGCGCTGGGACTCTGCGCCCGCATATGAGCAGCCAGGGCCACGCAGTCACAATCCATTGCTCACAGACGTCACAGTCCATCGCTTGGAGACGCCACCAGCCACCCGTAGGAGGTATCCCAAGGGCCCATCCTCACCTCGGCAGCTCTCTGGCCCCAAATTCTGAGCCTTGTGTCCACTCCATGCCCCCCAACTTTTGTCTTGTCCGTGGCACTGGTGTTTCCCAGCAGGCCGGGGTCCCTGGCTGTGCCTTCCCAGGGCCCCGTCCCGGTCACCTTGGCTACGCCATGTGTCTTCAAGCACATACAGCAGGAGGGTCCGTTCGATCACAGCTCGGGCCTGCCTCTCAGGCTGCACCACACAGTCCCTCCAGTCCTGCCCATGCCCCAGCACTGCTGGCCTGCCCTCTGGGCTCCCGTGCTTCCTCCCATGCTGGGTGGAAGTCAGCCCTCTGCTTGCTCCCGGGGACTTTCTCCCGTCTGTCTTTACTCGCTGGGGAGAGCAGGGCTGATGGTGCCCTCTGCTCAGCACCCATCAGGCCTCGCCCAGGCACTGCGTCCTTTGTATTGTGCTGGGCAGGAGACACACGGGGAAGCTGCAGGGGCCCTGCCAGGAAGGTCTGTGCAACCAGGGCTGGCTCAGCATGGGTCAGAAGAGGTTTAGGGGCACCTAACAGCACACTCTGGTGCCTTTGGGGAAGGCATCAAGGAAAGGGGGTCTGGCTCCTCACGGCAGTGCCTGGTGAGAGAGGGAGGGGCAGTGGCATCAGATGGAACTGGCCAGTTTCAGGCTGGATATAAGGGAAACAAAAGCACAAGGATCATTAATCATAGAATCATTGAATGGCTTGGGTTGGGAGGGACCTTAATGTTCATCTAGTTCCAACCCCTCTGACACAGGCAGGGATGCCACCCAGTAGATCACATTTGCCAGAGCCCCATCCAGCCTGGCCTTGAACAGCTCCAGGGATAGGGCATCCACAGCTTCTCTGGGCAACCTGTTCCAGTGCCTCACCACCCTCTGAGTGAAGAATTTCCTCCTAACATCTTTTCTAAATCTCCCCTCTTTCAGTTTAAAACCAATACCCCTTGTCCTATCATTATCTACATGAGTAAAGAGTCACTCTCCATTCTTTTTAATTAGAAAATTATAATTTATATTGTCCTTTGTGAAGCCGTGCTGGCTGTCTCGGATCATCTCCATGTCCTGCATGTGTCTTAACATTGCTTCCAGGAGGATCTTTTCCATGATCTTATCAGGCACAGAGGTGAGGCTCACTGGTCTGTAGTTCACCAGGTCCTCCTTTCTACCCTTGTTAAAAATGGGAGTGGTGTTTCCCTTTTTTCATTCACTTCCAGGGACTTCAGCTGACTGCCAGGACTTACCAAATATGATGGAGAGAGGCTTGGCAGCTCCATCTGCCTGTTCCCTCAGGCCCCTGGGGTACATGGCACTGGGCCCCACAGACCTGTACCTGTCCAGTTTCATCAGGGGGTCTCCAACCTGCTCTTCACTTACAGCAGGAGGGACTTTGCTCTCCCAGCCCTTGCCTAGAGGGTCAGGCACTGGAGAGATGTGGAAACTGCCTGGCAGTGAAGGCTGAGGCAGTGAAGTTGCTGAGTACCTCAGCCTTCTCCATGTCTGTCATTACCAGTCCTCCCTCCTCACCCGTCAGAGGGGGTACACACTCTTTGTCCTTTCTTTTCTGGCCAATGTACCCATAAAATCCCTCCTTCTTGTTCTTGCCGGGCTCAGCTCCATCTGTGCCTTGGCTTTCCTGATCCCATCCCTGCACATCTAAGCAGCATCCCTGTCCTCTTCAGCCATCCTGGTTTCCTGCCCTCCCTGCTTGCTTTCTTACGCAGGGGGAGGGAGAACTCTAGTGCTCTAAGAAAAGCATCCTTAAGAGTTGCCAACCCTGTTCAGCTCCTTTGTCCCTAAGGACAGTGTTTCAGGGGATCTTGTCCACTAAGTCTTTAAATAGTTCCAATTTTGAGTAGTGTTAAACGGCAGACCATAAAAGCAATCCAGATATTCCCAGGGATTCACTTTTAGGCTAATTTTGTAAATTGATG